ACCTCTATGGGCTCGCTGCTGGCGGACATCGAGGTGAAGCCGACAATGTCGCTGAAGAAGATGGTCACCTCGCTGAAGGTTTCCGGGACGACATTGTTCCCGACGAGCAACTGCTTCGCCACGCTCTCCGGCAGCATTCGGTGCAAGAGAATCTCCGTCTTCTTCTTCTCGTCAATCAGCTGCTCGGTGCGCTCATCGACCAGGTCCTCCAGCTGGTACTGGTACTTCTCCATCATCTTCATCATGTTGTCCATCAGATTGCCCGGCGGCGGCTTAAACTTGGGGCAGGAACGAACCTTGTTCCGCAGGGGCTCAATCTTGGGCCGCTCAGAGGGCTGCTCGTGCCAGCACTCCTCGATGATGTCGATGATGTCATTGTTGACCTGCATCTCCGCCACCGAGGGCCGAAAGGGGCGAACAGCGCCTGCCTCTCCACTTCCACCGGGCTGATATGCGACCACCTTCCGCAGCACCTCCCCGGCCCACTCCTCCTCCTGCTCCTCCGTGGCCAGGTCGTGGTCCTTCATGCAGAAGGGCCCCCGTCTGGCGAGCATCTCGTGGAAGATGATGCCAAAGGCGTAAATGTCCGCCTCGGGGGTCTCCTTTGGCAGGTGGCTGGTGGTGGCGGCCAACAGCGCCACGGCGACGGTGTTTGTCGTGGTGGCAATGCTGTTGCTGGTGCTCGATCCACCAGCAGCGGCAAACTCGGCCATGTTTCGCAGCAGCTCGGGCGCCTTCCACAGGCGTTTGTAGTTGACGTGCTTGGCATCCACCTCGGCTATCTCACGCAGCTTGTGAAAGCCAAAGTCCGCTAGCTTTATTTCCCAGCGGCTGGTTACCAGGCAGTTAGTCGTCTTCAGATTGCCGTGGCACTTTATTTCGCTCTTGTGTAAATACGCGATTCCTGGAAGGCGAAAAAGTGAGAGCAAAAGTGAGAGAGTGAAAATAAAGAAAATAAGAAGTAGGAAACGCAGTTGCCCCCAGTTCAGAAGCTCATTAGCGGCGAAAAGCAGTTGAGGGGAAGGGAAACAGGGAGGGAGGAATGTGCCGATCAAAAGTGCAGCGGGACAAACATTCAGCAGCTGCAGTGGCAACAGAACATTTAGGTCACATACACAGTGATTCCCTACAATCGCCTTACTAGCCTTTATATTTAGTAGTAGTAGCAGTAAGTTGCCTAATAAGAAAGTGGCGCACAAATCAATTGTTATGATTTCTGTCGAATGTAAAGAGAGCAAGAGTTCACCTCAGGTGTTCCAAAAAGAACGAGAATTCAAAAGAACAAGATTACCCCATTTGCCTGAAAATGCAAATGCAAATGGCAATGTCAGAGCCACGAGCTCGAGGCAAAAGTAATGCCTACTATTTATTCTTTTATGAGCTTTGGTATTTGGTTCAGCTGCATTTTGTCTGCACCAATGTGGGTTCCCTTTCNCCATAAGTAACAATAAATAATAATTATAGAAGCGTAAGGTGAAAGTGAACACAAGCATACGTAGTCCAGACTGANGCGGAAACGAGCCTAGATGAGTGCACATATTTCTTCGTGTACGAGTGAAGAGAATGTGTCTTTCTGCCTACTCCTTACATCATAAGTAACAATAAATAATAATTATCTTAATAAGTCGAGCAAGTGCTCATACATTTGTGCGACCGACGAAAACAACGCTGGCATGCAACAATGAAAACGGGGACTAAGCTCTTCTTGGTTGTACTTTTTTGCTAACAACTCATTGTGCAATCAACAATATTGTTTTCTTGCACTTTTTTAAACAAAAACCAATGTAACCGGGGAAAGGAAAAAAACTGTGCCCAATTTGTCGACTAGCTCAAATTACCAAAGATTGAGAATTGTCAATTGGAATTAAAAGCAAAAAAGCAGCCAGAGAATTTGATCGAGCAGATTGCCGGTGACTATATAGCCAAGAAAAATGAAGTGAAGAAGTGTAATCGATTAGTGTTTGCTCACACACTCTCACTGACAAACAGACCGACAGACAGCCACTGCCGCACAGATTGAGAAGGGCACTTTTCACTAATGAAGAGAGGCAATAATATGGCAATCTTTGGGAAGACACTTTCTCTCCCTCTCACTGTCTCTCAAAAGCTGTCCTCGTATCTAGGCACACAGGAGACATCGATGGCAGCCTATAATGAAATTAAAGCTGTCTACGGCGTGTCAACAGTGTCGACCAGTGAAGAGGATCATGAAAGGAAAAAGAAAAGGCTACTAAGAAAGTCAATGATTGAAAAAGAAAAAGGCAGCAAACGCACACAGTGTCGGCTTTGTGTGCTAGTGTCTCACTTTGCCTTTGACTTTCCGTCTGTCTGCAGTTGTCGGCAGTGGCCACCACCACCAACAGAGTTGATCGAAATCACTTGGTCGAAGTGCTGCTATACATGATAGTCTTCATCTTCTCTCCCCTACTCAAGTACTCTTAATGTTCTCTGCCTGATAGCAGCAACAGCCGCCAACTGACTGACTGCCCACAATCAAAGATGCGATGAAGCCATTGCGGTGGAAAAGCACGGCAAATTATCGCCATCACCCAGCAAAATGCTAAACGCCTAAAAATAGCACCTTGACAAAGAATGAAAGTCTCACATGCTGCTGATAAGATGGCGTCAAAATGCGGCAGTGGTACCTCTGCAGCCACCTAGAAGCCTTTCAGTGCTGATAGTGCTGATAATGGCAGCCAAATGGCAGACAGGCGTCACACACACCCTCCCCTCGCTGTCCTTCTCAATAGCGTACTTACCCGACATGATGCCGTAGATGAGTGAGGCGAAGAAGAGCTCATCGAGGCGCATCATCTTCTCATCGTCGAGAATGTCCCTCAGCGAGCCCTTGGTGCAGTACTCCGAAATGATGCACAGCGCCCCCGGACACTCGATGTTGGGGCAGGCGCCGATGAAGGGGTTGATGTTCTTGTGGTGCATCTCCTTGATGCACTTGATCTCCTTCTTGTCCTCCCTGCTCAGGCACTCAAAGACATTGCTGCTCTTCTTCGTCTTCGAACTTAAGTTGAGGCTCTTCACAGAGACGTGGGCGTTCTTGTAGATGGCGAGGTTGGTCAGCCCGTGGTCGCTCAGCCGAGCCTGCGCCATCGACCCGGTGCTGATCAGGCTGGCCCTGCTGGCGCTCAGGTCCCGGCGGCAGTCCACGTCGCCAAAGGTGATCTCCTTGCTGGGGAGCTTCCACGTCAGACCGTCAATCTCCTGTTCGTACTTCCAGTTGTGGTACATGAAGTAGACAACGATGCAAATGACGACAAAGATGATGCCGAGCACGACGGTGACATACTCCCGCAGCTTCACCACGTTGCCCTTGTCGCAGCCCTTGCCGTCAAAGCCGCAGGGCGGCTCGTCCAGCGGCACGTGCGTCGGCTTCACCCACTCAATTTCCCGAATGGGCTGGTAGATGTTGCGGTCCGTCTTCTCGTCAAAGAAGAAGGTGCCCACGCGGTTCATTTTGATGATCTCCTTGCGGCTGTCAGGAGGCGGTGAGCCGATAAGGTCGTGACTGCTGCTGTTGGAGTTGCCAGCTACCAGCTGTGATGACGGCTGGTAGAAGCCGGCCGGCTGCAGGACAGTGTAGTTCCCGTGGACGTCCCCATTCTGGTCAATGTGCATTAGAGCTCCGGTCACCGACTGGTACTTGCCTCGGCGAATGATGCGTCGGGTGATCTCGCGACCGTCGTGCTCGTTCAAGCCGTCGCGAAACATCTAAAAAGAGAAAAAGGTTGGCCGAACAATGTTTTGAAATTGATTCTCATTGAAAAAGATCATCATCAAAACCTACCTCAGAGAGTATCTCCGCGTAGAGAATGACGGCATCGTAGAGATTGGCCGCGTAGGGGGTAATGTACCGCTGCATGTTCACCTTCTCCTCAGTGCCCGACGATGATGAGGACGAGGACGGCAGTGACCGTTGCCTCTTCAGGCTCTTCAGGTCCTTCAGACAGAAGGGCGGCGCCTTGTTGTACTGGCGGACCTTCTCCTCAAAGACCTTGTAGTTGGGCGACTCGGCGGGCCGTCTGGCCACCACCAGCAGCGACTTCATCGCCTCGTTGATCGCCTCCTTCTCGTGCTGTGACCAGTCATTGCGGTGGTTGAGAAACAGATTCGCCTTCTGGCTCTCCAGCTGACCCTCGTCCGTCGTGTCCTTGAAGTCCTCATTCAGGTCGACGGAGATGATCACGTACTCGCCCTGCTCCAGCAGTCCTCTCGCCTTGAGGGCCAGCAGAAAGTAGGACAGCTTTGAGCCCCCTCCAAAGAAGACGTATACCCGCGTCAGCTTGTACGTCTTCTCGACCATCTCCGACCAGGTGCGGCCACAGCAGGACTCCTTTGCCATGCAGCACTTGTAGTCATCGTCAAAGGGGTAGTCGACGGTGATGGAGGCGCCGCCGGCAATGGCCCTCGCCTTCAGGTTGGCCACCACCGAGGCGAGCTCCGAGGAGCGCTTGAACCACAGCAGGGCAAACTTGTTCCACTGAAAGTAGCGCAGGAGGGCGAGCACCGAGCGGACCACATTCACATCAGCGGGGTGGGTGCGCACAAAGGTGGGAAAAGCCTCCTTGTTGGAAACGGCGCTGTTGGCGCACTTGTAGGAGATCATCGGCAGGTTGAGGGCGGCGGCCACCGTCGCCTCCACCTCGCAGGTGTCCTCGGGACCGAAGAAGGCCACCGCCTGGTGGCGCCACTGCCAGATGACCGCCGC